GATAAAAATGGCAAAAAAGTGTTTGTAGTATATAAATCAATCATAAAATTGTCATTAGGAAAATATAGGAAAATATTATAGAATACAAATTACTGGTTAATGGCCAACAGCACTTAAAAGTAAGAGATAAGAAAAAAATAGAGCCTGTCAATTAGACAAAAAAAAAAAAGACAACATTTCTGTCCCCTAACTTCTGAAATCCCCTGCGAGGGAGTTTTTGGTGAGTAATCAGCTTGGTGAAATTTGAAGTAAATCTCTGTGTCAGTGACCAGTATTTACTGAGGTTTGATGGCTGATGATCTAAAAAATTCAGAAATTGTTAAAAGTCAACTATCAAAAAGAATAGCTGAACATAAGTTCACAAATAAAATAGAATATTGATTACATTGTTAATGTAAAAATATAAAAGGACCCCCCCCCCTCCAATTATAAAAAAAATCTAATGTAAACTCATGTTCAGAACACCACCGCACACCACTGCACTCATGCAATGCTTGACAAAAAAATATGAAGAAGTCATACTCTGGTATGTCTATTTGACATTTGAGTTTCTATTTTTTAAATTCCTATTATGCTTAATAGTGATGTAACTAGATTTCATTGCTGTTATACTTAAGTTTACTTAAGTAAAATATGATGTAATTTTCATTTAAAATCAGCATTAATTGAAGACAGTGAACCAATTCTTGACTCATTCCTCAATTTATAACAACAACAACAACGACGACAACAATTACTGTATTTTTGTAAACTGTAGAGTACACACTTTACAATGGAAGTCTATGGGGCAGTTGTAAAGCACTAAAATAATGTTAAACTTATTAAGTTGACACACTGTTTTGAACATATACAGTGCACAGCATAAATGAATACACCCCCTCTAAAACTTAACAAATTCAGCAATTACTATTTACTTAGAAGACATGTTAGGGTTCTTTGGAGATATAATGTTCCAACAAGCCTGCTTGATCAATTACCAAAGAAGAATGCCAAAATTATTCAGCAAAATAAGATTTTCTTATCAAAGTGATAACATTTTGTGTTGCAAAAATGAGTCCACCTGAAAGTTACTACAAAAAAAAAAGTGTATAGGTTTAAGGCTATTTTTGATCAACAGGTAAGTATATTGAACCAAAACTCTTAAAGACAAGTAATTTCCTGACAATTAAAAGTGTTGTATAGCCCACTGAATCATACTCAGATTAATGCTGGCAGCAGTGGAATCACTTGGGAGAGAACTGCCAGGTGACTTATTTCTTAACATTAAAGAGGACAATGGTACAAGAGGAATACCAAATTATTGTTGTAAGTGTGAAAATATAGCAGAAGTAGCACTAACATTCAAAAACAATGGACTTGTGATAAGGCTCCTGAAATAATCAGGTCTTCACTTTAAGTTTTCTTTTAGTGATGAGTGAATTTTTGCTAGAAAAATAGCAGGAGAAATAACATGCAAGTGTCTCAGAGCCAGCAAAAGCTATGAAAAGAGTGACACTTTATCTCACAGAGTATGACGCAGCCTGCAGAAGTGACATGCATGGTTGTTGTCACCACTAGAATTACCTACTGTAGCCAAAGCAAAATAAACTCATTTAACCTCTTCCAGGGCCCATATTTACAAAACAGAGACTTCTGGGAATTCATACTCTGGACTCAAGAGACCAAGTCAATCATTTCGGATCTAACAGCATCCAAAATGTCCTGGTGTTGCTAGAGGAGGAGTACAG